TCATAGCCCGGGTGGAGTGAGCCAAGCAAGATATGACTCGCCATATCATCCTCTAATGGGATTCTAAGAAGCTCCATATTCTTGAAAAGCCTAGTCATTCTAAGCACATGAGGTTGGAGGGGAATACCGGGTCTCAGTTTGGTATTATACAACCTAGACCAAACTCGGTACCTTTTCTTGGCAAGATAACCTTCCTCTAGGGCCTTGATTTTCTTGTTCACAAATGACCTAGTCAAGTTATGAACATTCAAGTCCCGATTCTCGGAAGACATGTTAACTAGCTCTTTAAGACTGTTAAGAAGCATGTCCAGAAGGTATGAGGTGAACTTCCTCTTCCGATCCTCCGGAAGGGAGTTCCTCATTAATTTTGTGACCTTGTTACAGTCCAAGGACCAAGTTTCATGAGTCACATCACTCATGAGTCCCTTAGAGAAGAATCTTGGAATGGGAGTGTTAAATATATACTACATTGAACTATTCCGTAGAGTTTTCCAGAGTTCCTCTTCCCATTCCTTGAAATTGGCCAAGTTTAGGCTAAAAGGCAACTTGTCAGGAAGTTTCGGGCACATATTGTTGTTGTTAATTGCAGACCTTTTTCTACAAATGAAAGAATTGTAATGAAAAGCCATTCATAAAACCAATAAGAAAGAAATTTAAAGCATACATGCAAACATTCAATCTTATTAAGCGTTTTATCCATACATTTAAAATTTGTCCCTTTTAGATAAGAATAAAATGATTCCAAGACCCCAAAAATCAAAAAGTGATTAAGCATGGTTTGACTTGTCTTAACACTTAATATTTTAAGGTAAGCAATCCAATTGCTAATAAATCTAAGCTATTCTTGGTTCGATAAAACGTCGTATCTAATGCTTTCTTGACGTTTGTATCCATTGCCACGACATCTAAGGACTCCTTACCGATATTGTTGAGTTTAGCCAAAATTAACGTGTATACCTAGTATACTGATGAGTGACATTTATGTCACTCTAAGGGAGTAATTTTAAAGTCTTTTTTGTGTTTATATTCTCTTAATTTTCCATTTTATTCTCTTGTTTTCTCGTTAATAAAATTTCTATTTTATTTGGTAATTTTAAAATGTTTTAGCTTAGTTTCTTTATTTAATTAATTTTAGTTTATTTCGTATTTTATTTGCATTGGATTTTTTTTTATTTCCTTCTTTATTTTCCTTGAGAGTATTCTAATTAACTTTTATTTATTTTAATTAGTTTTAAGTTTATTTCTTACTTTATTTGTTTGTGTTTTATTTAATTTTGCTGGCTTTAGTTTATTTCTCTTATTTTCTATTTTACTTTACTTATTTTCATTTTATTATTCCATTTTATTTAGTGAACTGCTATTCGTCGTTCCCAATTTACAGGGTGACGCTCCCATTTTAGGAGGAAATGACCTTTTTGCCCTTATGTGAATTTGGCCTATATAAGGCTCCACCACCTTGTCACTTTGCTTTAAAAAATCCCGACCCCACAACTTGGCTTAAAAAAATTCCGAGCCCACCACTTGGCTTTAAAAAATCACGCGCCCCCAAAAATCCCGAGCCCACCACCAAAAATCTTAAACTGTTTACCGGAAAAAAATAAGCAAGGTGTAGCGACTGGTCTTGGACGATGAACGACGGCGACGATCGTACGCCGGAGGCTTCGTCGGAAGAATTTGTATGTCGCTGAACTTTTTTTTTTGTGAAGTGGGCATCCGTCCAAATATTCCGGATCTCTTGTGGAGGATCCGCCTGAAATTTTCGGAATATTTGGGCGGATGTCTTTTTTTTTTTTTTTTTTTGCTTATTGTACGTTATTGCTTATTGTTGTTGTTGTTGTTGTTGTTGTTGTTGTTGTTGTTGTTGTTCTTATTATGATTATTGTTGTTGTTGTTTTTGTTATTGTTGTAAAATTCTTATGATTATTGTTATTGTTGTTGTTGTTACGATGATTATTATTATTATTATTATTATTACTATTATTATTGTTGTTATTGTTATTATTGTTGTTATTATTATTATTATTATTATTATTACTATTATTGTTGTTGTTGTTCTTATTGTTATTGTTGTTATTGTTATTATTATTATTATTATTATTATTATTATTATTGTTATTATTGTTATTTTTATTATTATTATTATTATTATTATTATTCTTTTTATTAATATTATTATTGTTATTATTATTATTATTGTTATTATTAATATAATTCTTAAAATACTAAGCTTGGCATGTTTTTTGTGTTTGTCATGTATGTTTATAGGATTCGGAGGTTGAAGAAGATTGTGACGTTGTGAATTACAGTGCAAATTTTGTGACATACATGGTTTTTCGAATGTTTGAGGATGCAGTTAAATGGGCGGATGATGTTGCCATAAATCTGAGATTTATTCTGGTAAAATCGTCTTTCAACAAAACTAGAGATGGTCGACCATATCGGTATTTGAGATGTGATCGGGGACGCAGGAGTAAGCCGAGAGATCTTGAGAACGCAATTCGGAAGGACACAAAAACCAAAGCCAATGGTTGTCCTTTCTACATCAAGATATACTACGAGTTCATCACCGACAGTTGGATTATCCGGGCGAAAAATGATGAAACTAGCACCCACAACCATCCAATGATTGCGTATCCAAAGGGGCATCGTAAAATTAGTGGGTTGAGCCCAGATGCGAAGAAGGTTGTGCGTGACATGACAAAGTCTAAGGTTGCACCACGTAACATCATGGCGACTATTGCTGAGCAGTTTCCTGATGATCATCCAAACATCAAACACATCTACAATTGCTGGAATGACTTGAGATCAGAGATGTCTGACGGGAGAGGAGTTGTTTAGTAATTTCTACATTTGGCGAGACAGAGTCAGTATCTTTACTGGGTCATGTCTGATGATGAAGGCGGTTTACAGCACGCCTTTATGGCGCACCCAGTCACGGTAGAAATCTTTCGGACGTACCCATATGTGATCGGTATGGATTCCACTTACAAGACCAACCGATACGGGATGCCGTTATTTGAGATAGTTGGTGTGACACTGACAAATCAGAATTTCCTCGTTGCTTACGTGTTCATGCGCAACGAGTGCACGGCAAGCTATCGATGGGTTTTGTAGAGATTGAGAGACTTGATTGGGTATAATAAGGAACCGCCGGTTTTCTTGTCAGACCGTGAGCTTGGGCTATGTGCGGCCTTGAAGGAAGTGTTTCCAGGGACCACACACTTACTTGGTCGATGGCACATTAACAAAGATGTGGAGGCTCGGGTCTCCGCTATGTTAAAAAAAAAAAAGATCGGTGCGACTTTCAAAAATGGGAAATGAAAACGTATCATGGATGCTGCAACCGAGGAGGATTATGATGCTACTGTAGATACAATGAAAGATCGGTGGGCAAGTTATCCAGCAGTGATACAATATGTTGAGAGAACATGGCTTTGTCATAAAACAAAGTTTGTGAGATTTTGGACAAACCAAGTTCTTCATCTAGGAAACACTAGCACTTGCAGAGTTTAGAGCCAACATTCGGCTGTGAAGATGTGGTTTGATCCTCTACATGTTTGTTGTTTGGATGTTGTAGTTCATGTATGTACTTTGTTGTAGTTATTTTCGTTATAAATCATAACGGTTTTTTTTTTGTAATGTGCAGGTTCTTTGGATACCGTATGGGCCCGAGTTCATTGCCTCATTGGTAATCAGATCATCGCAATTCGTAACGGTTTGGAGGCTTCTAAGTCGAAGATAGGTCAGAAGTACCAACAATTGCCACTATCACGTATTAACGGCAAGGTGTCTCAGCATTGTTTAAAGGTTCTCGATGACGAGATGAAAAGGATGAGGGAGCTGAGCTATCAGGTGTATGAGCGATGTGGATGTGCAATGCGTATGACTCACGGTTTGCCCTGTGCTTGCCAGATACATGACTCTAGATGCAGGGACAGGCTTGTATATCAGGCAAATTCACCCGTTCTGGAAGACCTTGGTTATCGGTGATGGTGATGATGGACCGGTGTTCGGTAATGACTCGGCCGAGGACGCCGCACATTTTAGTTCTCTGATGGATGAGGTAATCGGTAGTGATCCTGCTGTTCTTCGAAACGTATCTCGCATCATTGAAGAAGAACTGCATCCGAAACATTCTGACCTCGGAGATCCTGCTGTAAACCACCAGGTTCATGGTCGACGAAGAAACAATGATACAAGACGTGATCCTTGTTATTTTGAACATGTGAACCGCCAGAACACTACACGTGGTGCACGCCAAACAGGTAAGATTGACTATTGTGATTTTCACGTATTTCATTATTTACTGTACTAATAACTGAACCCTAAATTTGTGCAGAAGATCCATGTGACATTAGCCAAAGCCGTTATCGACACATGCTTTCAGGACCGATGTTGCCTTAAATTACAGGATGGAAGGATGTCATCGGCGATGGTAACTGCGGCTTTTGTTGTGTGGCCGAGTTCTTCTTCGGTGATCAAGGACCATGGTATGACGCTCGAGAAACAATAGCAAACGAGGTCCTTAGTTATCCAGCCCTGTACGAGAGGATTTACGAGCTTGGAAGACTTGGGATCAATGTGGAGCGAATTAGATGGGACGGTGGGGAGGTTGATTCCTGTCATTGGATGGCTGCAATTCAAGATTTATTTCCTATTGCTAATTGGTTCAACGCAATGGTTATTATTCTTGGTGTTGGCACCGTACCAACCTGCTTCTACCCATGCCTCACGATTTTGCCGTTACGGGCACGAAGGGGGGTCACTACACCTGAACGAGAGTTTGTGATCGCTACAATTGGGGGCTCACATTTTATCTGTATTGACCTTGCACCAGATTCACCTCTTCCCTCGATTGTAGGTTGGTGGACCGAGAACCACGAGCCAAGTGTTGACGGTTGGGATTAGCGTTATGCAGCTAGAAGGAACATGTGGGATGCGTTAATTAGATAATGAACGCATTTATGTACATTCATTTATCGTGAACAGTTGTAGATATGTAAAGTGTAAATATGTAAAGTGTAAATAAAATTCTGAATTAAACAAAGTTTCAACTAAAACCACACAAAAACAATAGTCCAATTCTTAAAATACATGCCGAATGTAGAGTAAATAAACGAAATGCGTACAAGTAAAAAAAAACTAATAAACAGGGAATTCACAACCCCATCATCGCCCTCCAATCAGCTCGTAGCGCCTCAGCCATTGCTCTCGTATCACGCGACAAGCTCGGATACTCCTCCAACGTCCTGTTGATAACCTCCATTGACCGATCCATCCACTGCAATAAAAAAACAACATATTAAATAAATTAGTTGTATTTGTAGTGATAATTATAGTACCAAAAAACACAAGCCGAGCCATTAAACAAATTAGATGTATTAGATCTTGGTTTCACCCTCGGGTTTGTTTGTGTGTTGATTCAAGTTTGAGGTCCAAGCCGAGCCATTCAAATTGCCACCAGCCACGGTCTGCTGCACCTTTTCACCATCAAGCAGCAACCCAACTCTGCCCGCATCTACACCTTCCTTCACGCACTAAACCAGCCGCATAACTCCCTGCTGCTGTCCTTAATCACTTCTCACACCACCTTACAACCACCATTCCCGGCCACAGCAACAACCTGCAACAATTAAGCCACCACAGCAGCCCCAATTGACTGCAAATCCACAATTAAAACCTCCACCTTCACACCAGCCACCGAAACCACCATCAATCTCCACCACCATCACCGCAATCCCACCAATCCATTTCTCACACCATAGACCACCTACAATCACAACCTCTAGCCACCACATCGCTACAGCCGCCACCTGCACCCCGGCGATACCAATCACCAAACCGCCAAAGCCGCAAGATATAGGCCCAAATCAGAGCAAATTGCAGAATCGACATGGTTTGGGCAAACTATTGACAAGTTCAGTCGGAGTGCCAAAAGAGTCAGAAACATTGGAAGTTTTCTAATTTGAATAAATTCGGTCAGACATACCCATGGTTCGATCGAAACAGCTCATAGTTCGGCCGAACCTACCCATGGTTTGACCGAACCATTTCACGAGCTTCACACGTGATTTTAATGAAGATCGAATGGCCTTGATTTGATGCTCGATAATTGTTGTTGAGGATGAATGGTGGTGATTCAATGATGATGATTGATTGTGGAGCTTGGTGAAGTGAGGTGTAGGGGATCATTCCCCATTTTTAGAGCAGCCGAAAGTCGAAGAAGAAGAAAGGAGGGTCTGACGATTTTTTGTGGGATTTGAGGGTTTTATTATTTTATTTTTCTTTTACTTTTCCTAATTCTTTTTAATTTCTTTTTCTTTCTTTATTTATTTTCCCCTTTTATTTTCTATTTTCCTAGCTTAGTATAAATACCCATTTTAGGATAATTAGAAAGGGGAGCTTAGTTTTATGAACCTCTTAATTAGTTTTAGCTCTTTCTCTCTCTCTATGTTAGGGTTTAGGGAGGATTAACCTCCATAGTTAGGGTTTTAGAGAGAGAAAGTGAGAGATCTTTCATGGTGGGATTTGGAGCTTAAAGATTCAACTTGTGACAATTGTTTAAGAGATCTCCTTATTAAATCAATGAGAATTTCTTATCTTCTCTCCTCTATATTTATTATTTATTGCTTTTGATTATTGTTTTAGTTGTTAGTATTGCTTATTAACCATGTTGATGCTTGTTAATTTGTTGATTAATTTTGTTATTAGCATGATTAGTGAGTAATTCCCCAACAAAGGGGATGGTTGTGGTGTAGTTGGATCTTGAGCATGTTTTAAGGTTTGAAATTGTTTTGTTTGTTATTAAAATTCTTTGTTTTCCATGTCTTACCAATTATTTCATTTGAGAGGCCAATCAATTGTTGTAGTTGGGTGGATTGAACTAGATTATGGCGATAACGTGATCTAGGAATGTCCATTGAATTATTTGCTTGATTTGTAGCTCGATTCGTGTGGCTTATGACGATAGTGTAAGTTGTGCTTGAGTTGAGAAATCAATTAACCCCGATAGGTGGTTAGATTATGCTTTAAATCATTGACATGAGTTGCTTAGTTCGCATTTCGATTTAATTTCAAGCCTTATTTATGCTTGAGTGAATGATATACCTAAACCGTTTCCCTTAATGTTTTATTTCTTATTTTAGTTTCTTTAGACTTTAGATTACTTTCCCCTATCCCGGTCTAGCTTTATTGTTGATAACATTTGGTAGTGTTTAATCGTTCTTTGTGGTTCGACCCCTATGCTTACCTTATACTCGTATTAGGTTTGTTTAGGTTTTATAAATTGTATTTGATTTAGGGATATTCGTTTGACGACACGTTTATTCCCTTATCATATACCATACTTCTCTAGGAGAGTGGTAACGCCTTTCTTTGGCATAGCCCATTACCTACTTTCAAAGTTTCGATAAGTGTTATTTTGGAATGGAAAATTTTAACTCAATTTTGTAGGGACCTAGGGTTTCTACGTTGGTTGATTTAAGTGAACTAAACTAATCATTCAACATTCGAAATCCTAAACATACATATAATATCGCAATTATATATAAGCAAAATATATAAGGCAAAAATAAAAATGCATTGGAAAACTAGCATGAGCCCCTTGCAACTTGAATCTTCAAATCTTCAAGACCTTCATTTGCATCTTCTTGGCTTCGTCTTCTTAGAAACGCGTCTTTGAGGCATCACCAATTATGCAACTACTAGAAAAACTGGGACTAATCTAAATAATTTAAGTGCAAAAATACTTAACGGCACACAATCCATATTTAGATTTACAAATACAAAATGGAACGCAGTCTGTATTTACTATCCTAGTCGGGCCATACTAGTTGCCATTTTGTAAAACCTGCATTAGAACATCTACAATATTCCATTCATCCATTAACTTCTAAAGTGAATGGCCCATGCATTTTATAAATAATTCAAACGACAATACAAAACAATGTATCAAACGAGCGTATACTAGTTACTAACTTAGGTGGTTAATCCGATTAACGCGCCTAATTAAAACTAGTCTAAGTGTTTATCCGATTATGTGAATAAACGCAATAACTAAAGCACAATCAAGGCTAATTTATGCTCAAAACGATTAATGAAGCTCCCACTAAATTCCACATCCAACATAATTGAAATTAATTCAATTAAAATTAATTAATCTGGTTAACCAAAATTTTGTCAAAAATTGCAAGTACGTGAAAAACCCAACGACTAGCTTCATTTAATTGACAATCGTAAAATAGTAAACCCCCAAAGGTCGAATGCCTAACATCCATGCCAAAGGGCTAGGGTTGCTAGGCACCCTAGCCAATGCAAAAAAACTTGCGAGTGCTGGTCGCACAAGCACAACAGTGCACCATGCGCTTACCAGCACTGGCAGCCTCGCAGCATGCCTAGCATGCTTGCGTGCTGCTGGCGCTAGCACCACGTTGGTGCATGATAGGCATGTCGCGTACCTAACAAAAATAACCTAACTATTCCTCCTAACTATGTAGTCGGGCAAGTAAGGGTCGAGTCCCAAGAGACTAAAGTTCACCTAAATTATCTAGACTCAAGTAATTACCAAGCAAAAATCAAACAATAGTGGAATAAACTAAAAGCTAATGTATGGAAAACTAGAATGATTCAACGAATATAATTAAACAAATAGCTAAAACATCCAAGATCAAGTATCACCACAATTACGATCGATGCAATTATATATCTACCCCTAACATACAATTCGAATTAACATGGGGAAAAGTAAATCCTAATCAATACCAAGGACCTCTTTCGAGTATCAATGGCTTCCCTAACATACAATCAAGCCTATTCTAATGGAATCATGCAAATTAGAGACATTAAACACCTTACTTCACTTCCCAATTATCAATTCAACTACACTCGGGATGAATTTCAAACCCTAAATTAATTTACTCAATTCCGTTAAAACCCAACTCTCGTTGTGATTGAAACTATGGAATAATAACAATACTAATTATCTCTAATCTAGTATTAGCATAATCACAATCAGTTTAGCATAACAATTGCAATAGTCATTAGAGAATTTAAAGAATTAATTCATGCATCAATCATAATTGGGCTACCCTAGATCTTGGAATAAGAAAACTACTCACACATATTGAAAGAAGCAATAACAATAATAATCAAGGAAAAAATAATTAAAAACAAAAATAATTGAAAGAGAAAGGAATAGAGATGAATACCAATGATGCTTCAATTGAAATAACTCAAATTGTTAATCAACAATACCCAAATCTAACCTAGGAATTAAATTGCTAAAAAGTATGAAACTAGGGTTCTAGAGAGAGAAATAAAACTTAAGGAGATAATAAAAGTGTTAACTAATGATAATTACAATGGGTATTTATACCCTTAATGAAATAAAAACTCGAAAATAATAAAAATCGGAATCGCAATACACTGCCCGGTCAAACCGGGCAATAACACCCTGATCGGGCAGGTGGGATTAAATAAGCAGCTATTTCTTCCTTGCATTCTTCCTCAGCGCCCGATCCAACCGGGCATATGGCACCCAATCGAGTGCGAGGCACAACCCTTGCTGGCTTGCAATCCTGATCTTCGTAGTACAACCAACCACCACGCGCCCGGTCCAACCGGGCGAGGCCTGCCCGGTCGGGCGCGTGGCATAATACCATAAAATCGCTTCTTTACTTTCTGAATAACTACAACCAGGAATTCCTACTGTGCCCGGTCTGACCGGGCATGCTTAGCCCGATCGGGCACAATACAAAATATGCTCATTGCTTGCAAATTCTTTTAAGACTGGTTCTTGTTTAGCTCGGTTTTACATCCTTATCCACCAACATCTCCAAAATGCTCAAAACATGTCTCAATCATCCGAGAAACTTCAAGTTCCTGTAAAACTTATAAAAATACACCGAACACACTAGAGAAGAGAATGTTAGCAAAAAATGGCTCTAAAGAGCCTAAAACCATACAAAACTGTAATGAAAAGTCGGGATAAATCTATGTATAAAACGTGTATATAATATTCCCCCAAGCTAAACTCTTGCCTGTCCTCAAGCTAAACTCTTGCTTGTCCTCAAGCAAGACAATAAAAAATAATCAACAACCAAACAACATACTTCACCCCACAATGCAAATTCAAAACACGGATTCAAAATCGAAATCAAACAAGCATACATCCTAGCCAACCAATCAAATCACTCAAACCGTCGATCCACCTAATTAATCGTCAAACGAGACCAACCATGTATAGTTCAAGAATCGATGACTAGAATATCTCACATCAGTGGCCACTCAACACACTTTTTATGTGGCGAGCTAAAAATGAGCTCGATCTCTCACCATCCCCACCAATAATGCGATCCCCCCATCTCACAACACTCGCGTGTTTAGAGGGTTATAATATCGCTCAACCTAGTCAATGTCGACTAGAAATGCAACATATACTCCAGCATTTTGACAAAAGACTCATTTCACATGAACACAACGCTATGCACGAAGATCGGAAGGACTTTTTGAAGCTAGTTTTCCTTCTTTTCTCTCCTTTTTTTTTATATATTTCTCATCCATTGCAAATTAAAAACACACAAAATACCGCATAAAATAGCTCCCCCAAGCTAGACTTGGGAAAAGTAACCAAATTAGGGCCAAGGGGTAATTTTTGTGAAGTTTATGAAAAATATAGTCAAGCTACAACATGGGTGAGCAAGAAGGGAACGGATGTTCTAAATTCGTCTGGAGGTCATCGAATGAACATGGCCTTCGTCATTTCAACATGCACGTGCAATGCATTACGACACGCTACTAAGAGTCTAAAATCAAAACTAAGATCAATGCTACACCAAGGACTACACACACACATGAATGAAATATAAGGCTCAAGCCTCACGGTTAACACAGTCAAGCTCCTAAATCATACATGGTTAATAGCCTTGACTCCTACTAGGGATCAACAAATTCAAGGTCAAATAATGATCTTTTAGTCCACAATGCAAGTCTTTCAATCGAAATTAAATCAAAACCTTTTACCATTAAGGATAGGGGCACATGGAAGTAGTTCAATGGCCGTTAATTATCATGATTCTCGTATTTTTCATTTTTCCAATTTTTCAAATTTTTTTTTTCGAAATACTAAACAAAGAAATTAAAACTAACTAATAAAGCAATAAACAAAAACACACCAAAACACATAAAAGAAAACAAACCAAAACAAATAGAAACTCAGAGAACATACCTAAGCTACTATGCACAAACTTCCCCCAAGCGACACTCGGCAACTCATCAAGCACATCAACCTGAAAAACAGTTTCTCCCATAGAGGGAGTACCCATAACATTCAAAAGTGAGTATTCCAATTTTTCATCACCTACTTCAAAAGTAATCTTACCCTTCTTCATGTCAATGATTGCACCTACAGTAGCCAAGAAAGGTCTACCAAGAATAATTGGAACATTTACATCTTCCTCCATTTCCATCACAACAAACTCACAAGGTATGAAAAACTTACCTACGCGAAGAGGTACATCCTCAAGTACACCCAAAGAAAACTTTACTGGCGTGCCTGCAAGTTGCAAGGATATGCATGTGGGTTTGAGTTCACCCATTTGCAGCTTCTTACAAATGGGCAGTAGCATGAGACTCACACTTGCACCAAGATCGCATAGTGCCCTGTTGATTTCAATATCCCCAAGCTTCACTGGAATTGAATAACTTCCTGGATCGCCTAATTTCTTAGGGAGAGTGTTCTGCAAAATAGCACTGCACTCTGCATTCAAAGAAACTGTAGCATTCTCTTCCAACTTTTTCTTGTTAGAAAGCATATCCTTTAAAAATTTGCATATGAAGGCATTTCAGATATAGCATCTAAAAACGGAATATTTATATGAAGCTTTTTCAGGATATCAAGAAATTTACCGTACTTTTTCTCAAGCTTAGCTTGGGCTAACCTTTGAGGAAAAGGAACTTTAGGCACGTACGGAGCAAGCGGCTTTGGAGTTGCTTCCTTTAATTCATCCTCGACCTTTGCACCATCGATCACCTTCTCGCCTTCACCTTCTTCTTCAACGACCGCCTTTGATGGCCCCTTGTTAGGAGGATCTTCCAACTGCTTTCCACTCCTTAAAGTAACAACATTCATATGCCCCTTCTATGGTTGCTCTGTCTGACCTGAAAAGGTCCCCGGTATCTTTAAGGATTGACCAACTTGGTGAGCAAGTTGGCTTATCTGATTTTCCATGAGCTTACTCTAGGCTTGTAGCTGTTGTATGGAACTGTGTTGATGTTGGATGGAATTGTTGGTTGTGGTGATAATGTTTTCCAAATTTATTTCAAGGTTGGACTTTTGAGGAGGTGGTTGAATAGGTTGTTGGACTGGAGGTGGCCTTGGTTGGAAACCAGGTGGTGCATTGTAGTTGTTGTTTCGAGGTGGTGGTGGAGGTGGATTTTGTTGAGCCTGGGTATTCTTGTAGGAAAAATTTGGGCGATTCTTCCAACCTTCATTGTATGTGTTTGAATGGGGGTCATATGGACTTTTGGGGTTAGAGGTGTAGAATGCATTACACAATTGACAAATCTCAGGTGAGCAAGTGGATGTTCTAGCTTGGAACCTATTGAACTTGCTTGTTAATGCCTGCACAGAACTAGTCAAAAGAGTTAAAGCATCAACATCTAATTTACCTCCTTTTTTCACACTATTTCGGCCACCTGGATGATAGTTATCATTGGCCGCCATTTTCTCAACTAACTCCTTTGCATCAGTTGGATTCTTTGTCAAGAGAGAACCCCCGGACGCAGCATCAATGTAGATATGGAACTCGTGAGTTAGACCATTGTAGAAGGTTTGGATTAACATCCATTCAGGAATACCATGGTGGGGGCATTGCCTCTGCAATCGCTTGAATCTTCTCCACTCATCGTATAGGGACTCATCATCTGACTGCCTGAAGGTGGATAATTCGTTTCTCAACCTAGCAGTCTTCTCCTGTCCTAGAAACTTTACTAAGAAGGCTTTCACTAGCTTGTCCCATGTATCGAACGAGCCAGTGCCTTCATCTCTAAACCACTCCTTTGCCCTATGCCTTAATGAGAAAGGGAAAAGGCGTAGTCTGATAGCATCATCTGTAACACCATTCATTTTCATTGTATCACATTTCTCCAGAAAACTATCAATATGACTTACCGGACAATCATGTAGTGAGCCTGCAAATGAATCATTGGAGATAAATTGAATGAATTGTGGCTTAAGCTCGAAGTGCTAAGCCGTCACGGGTGGCCTGACAATGCTAGAAAGGAGTTCGGTAGTCGTATCAGGAATACCGTACTCCAAGAGGGATTTCATGGCATCTTCCATGTCTCTCCTTCGTCGATTTCTTGTTCTCCTTCTCCTTATAGTTGCCTCAATCTCAGAGTCAAATGGTTCAAGATCGTCTAACCCTGAACGTCGTGTGGGCATGCAACAAGAAAACTAGAGAAAGAATATCAAAAACACAAGAGAAAATAGTCGAAGCAACGAATGAAGCTTAGCAACAACAAATCACAAATAATCAAATGAAACCGTTAGTCCACGGCAATGGCGCCAAATAATCATAATTGGGCTACCCTAGATCTTGGAATAAGAAAACTACTCACACATATTGAAAGAAGCAATAACAATAATAATCAAGGAAAACATAATTGAAAACAAAAATAATTGAAAGAGAAAGGAATAGAGATGAATACCAATGATGCTTCAATTGAAATTACTCAAATTGTTAATCAACAATACCCAAATCTAACCTAGGAATTAAATTGCTAAAAAGTATGAAACTAGGGTTCTAGAGAGAGAAATAAAACTTAAGGAGATAATAAAAGTGTCAACTAATGATAATTACAATAGGTATTTATACCCTTAATGAAATAAAAACTCGAAAATAATAAAAACCGGAATCGCAATACACTGCCCGGTCAGACCGGGCAATAACACCCTGATCGAGCAGGTGGGATTAAATAAGCAGCTGTTTCTTCCTTGCATTCTTCCTCAGCGCCCGATCCAACCGGGCATATGGCGCCCAATCGAGTGCGAGGCACAACCCTTGCTGGCTTGCAATCCTGATCTTCGTAGTACAACCAACCACCACGCGTCCGGTCCAACCGGGCGAGGCCTGCCCGGTCGGGCGCGTGGCATAATACCATTAAATCGCTTCTTTACTTCCTGAATAACTTCAACCAGGAATTCCTACTGTGCCCGGTCTGACCGGGCATGCTTAGCCCGATCGGGCACAATACAAAATATGCTCATTGCTTGCAAATTCTTTTAAGACTGGTTCTTGTTTAGCTCGGTTTTACATCCTTGTCCACCAACATCTCCAAAATGCTCAAAACATGTCTCAATCATCCGAGAAACTTCAAGTTCCTGTAAAACTTATAAAAATACACCGAACACACTAGAGAAGAGAATGTTAGCGAAAAATGGCTCTAAAGAGCCTAAAACCATACAAGAATGTAATTAAAAGTCGAGATAAATCTATTTATAAAACGTGTATATCAGTGGGCATGCGTGTGCTTGCTATAGGAGCTTTTAGGCAGTCGCACTCCAAGCGACGCGGATCATCGCACTCCCGTCGCACCATATGCTCGCACACATGCGCTCCCTTGGCTCGGCAGCAATAGCAGCTCTGCTAGCCGAGCCTAGATGCTCGTACTCTTGGGCTTCAATTTGGTGCTTGGTATGCTTCGATATTATATTCCAAATTTGTGTGACGTAAAATTAATTCTAAATTGATTTTAGAACTAAAATTGAGCAATTTTGAAATTAAAAAATGTCTAACTTAATTAAATTCAAGTTTAGTGCAAAAACCAAAATTAATTCAAGAACCATTCTTGTAATTATTTTTGTCTCAACTTGATGCAACAAAAATTGAGGGCTATTCTCACAATTAATTTAACAAAAATAAATTAACAATGAGATTTAACAAAAATAGTTGAATAAATAAATAATCATCCAATGAAAAAATTTATCCAACAATTACTTATGCACATATGAACATTACAACCTTCCAATATGAAGAGTCATAATATTTCAAGCACAAGTATAAACATTTAAGATTTTAATCAACTTCCAAAATGATTAGAACCAAAATTTGTTCATTATGGATTTTAGCAAGTTAAAATTCAACCATTTAAACCATTAAAGATTGAATCTTTAACATTTAAGTGCTTCAAAAATCATATTCTCTATAAACTTTCACACTACAAGCAATTTATTTGCAAGAAAGTGAAATTTCAAGTTTATGTGAAATTAAGAGTTCACCAAATTAAGCAACCAATTTACTTCATAAATGTGCTTAATAAGGAGTAAAACTGTAGAAGATTAATGGTATAATCAAACACATAATCCAACAATTGCATGCCATAATTAATCAAGTTTTAAAGATTTAAATAACTTTCGATTTAAACGAAAAACCCCCTCGAAAAAAACCACTTTCTGGGCAAATTTTGGCCTCTAGAAGCCATTTAATATTGTGGGTAAAGGTTGATTTAGAACATCGATTCCACCAAAAATTCACTATTTTTTAGTCGAAATCTGAGTTCATAGTTATAAATTAGCAATAATACAATTTTAATCCAATTAAAACGAGGTCCTAATCTAATTAGGTTGCTGATCTAGAAATTTAAATCCATTTAAATCACTTTAATTAATTTTTTAGTTGTAAAAATTAAATTCAAGAGGCTCTTATACCGCGGTTGAGTTTTACAGTGTCCGACACCGTGTGGAAACAAAACCCGATAAATTAGATCGCATGCATAATAATTACAACATAACAAATAGAATGAAAATAAAGAAAACACAAACACATAAAGATAAGAGAGAGAAAGAAGCTCACCCTTAATGCATGCTTTGCTCGTAACTCGAGCTCGGACTTGGAAAACTTCAAGTCCCGCAAATACAAGACCTCCAACGTCTCACACCCTCGATCATCGAACTGCCCATACCCCACAACTTAGACAGGGCTAGACTAAAAATTACTAGAGTTTTACGAACTTTAGGTTTTCTCACTCTTTGGGAGATTCCTTTTGAGTTCTACTCAAGTAAGTATTCCCAATACCCAAGGTGGGTATTTATAGGGAAATGCTCCCAAGAGTTTGCATCAACTTTCCATGTGGGAGAGTTGGTGATATGTGAAAATGAATGTATTAATTTAATTCCAAATTAAATTAAAATAATAATTCAATTAGTAAGCAACAAGTGTCACAAGGAGAGCAAGGGAGTAGGTGAGGACCACAAGGAAAGGACCACCCTTCCCTTGCTCCCCAAGCCAACCTCCTCACTCAAACCAGCCCCAATAGGAACTGGCCAACTGACTGCCTATCCTTGAACAACAAGGCGCGCCACGCTGGCAACCCTTGTGCTCGGATGGCCCAGCCAGTGAGGCCTAGCCAGTACGCGCATGCCCAGCAAGCTTCGCATGCTTGCGGGTTGCTGTGCGTGCTGGCGCTAGTAGCAGCTAGCGAAGTCCAGCGAGCTTGCTAGCTGCTGACCTTTCTATTCTTTGCTAGCGAGCTAGTGCTGCTACCTAGCTCGGCATGGCGCGACTGTCCAGCTAGCAAGCGGATGCTGCTGCTGAGCATGCGACCATTGCCTTGCGTGCTAGCTGCCCTTACTAGCCACATTGCCCTAGCCCTCGCATAGCTAGGCCATTTGAAGGCTAGGGCTTTGTGTTATGACTTGTTGTTTGACTAATTTCTCATCTCGTCGATTTCATAAATTGAGTCGACGTTCGACGCTCGGCTACGACGCTCTAAGCTCGGAATCCGACGTCTTAGTTCGTAAAATCTCTATTGA